TACATGTTTGGAAATAGGTCATTAATACTAAACTCAATAATTAATTATGCAGAGGTATATAGCTTAGTTCATTAGTAAACATCTAAATCGTATATTTTTTGGTTTTCGTTGTTAAATAATAATGAGTATAGTCTAACTTACATTAAACGATTAACATTTGCATTGAAAAACGTATTTTGATCAATAAGAATTTTATTTAACAGATTATGATAAATATATTTATAAATAAATAAGAATAAGGACGAGCATATTAAATTCAATTGTTTATCCAAACTGGTGTGGTTTACATACTTTCTATTGTTCTTGCTAATCAGCTGATCGTTACATTGTCCCCTCTTAAAATTTGTCAGTATTTCTTTATTAAGGGTCAAACAATCGCACAACTCCATCGATATATCTATCTATCAATCACTTCTAGCTTTATTTTAGCTCGTTCTTCTTGAATCCCTTTTGACTTAAGTGAACCTGTCCTTGTAAACGAACACTGGTCGGTTACCTTGAAAATTTTGAAGCGAACATATTCAATGTTTGAACTGAGAATTGTAATCTCATGGCTCCTAAACGCGCCGCTCCGCGCACAGAAACTGTAAATAGACAAAGTAAAGGATCGTCTAATAGGTGGACTTTTTATTTTTATAATATAAGTATTCATATTTTAGACAACAAAGGTTATCAGGACAAGAAAGGGTGAGCATTTCTTTTATATTTACGTCGTCTCTTTTCTTGATTTTGACTCTGAGTTATTCTAACCAGCCTTTTAGTGGGCTTCCTCAAGAAATCGACCAGCCTAATCGAAGAAGAAACACCCAACCCCCCCAAACAATCGATCTAACTTCATCTGATCTTTCTAGCGAAATTTCGCAAATTGATACCCCACGTTCATTTGATCGTACAAGCTCCACTGCTTCTCTTATTGAACTTTCTCCACCTTCTAAGCGAAGGCGTTTGGCCTCAGAGGTGGATTACTCCTCTAATTTTCACCAAAATCCAGACATTCGTGGTGGTCGAAAAGATAGGGCTGTCGGCTCTGATCTCCCACCATCAAGTTTTGAAGCAGGTCCTGGTTCTTCCAATCGCCGAAAGACGGGTTCCTGCAACAGTAAACGTCAGTAAGTTGACTACTTTTTTCAGCTTTGTTTATTGGGGCGATTGAGATGTGTGATCATGAGAATCATATGTATTAATGTAATATCGAGGAAAGCACAAAATGAGTTGTCTTTGTGTGTGATAGATCTCGTCGTCCACAAGATATCTGCACGAGGTAAACATAGGCATTGAAAATTGTTTTTGATCTTCCCATTTTTAGTAAATTTAGATTATCATATTTCAATAGGGTTGTTTTAATAGTTGCATTCTTTGTTTAGATCTTTGGCTTAGGTTCGTCTTTTTTGTTTTTTTCTTTACTTCTTCCTTAAGTGAAATTATTGCGTATGCTTTTGCTTTGATGGTTTTTAAATTTGTTGACATTTTGATAGCATTAGATTTATTCATTTTTCCACCATCCTATTCAGGTTCTTCGGCTTTGTTGTTGATCTTTCGCAACCTCGAAAAGAACTTAATTTATACTGACATATATGCGCCCTTGAATATATCGAGTTGACGTGATTAATAATGGTAACCAAACTCTGTTTATCATGGGCCTGATCACTCTTAAGAACTTGAGATTGATTTCCATAACTTTAAATACTAAGGCATGATATTATGAAAGTCTCGCAGCTTTCGTGCTTAAAAATGTGAATGAAATACGTTTATTCTCCGTTTTTTGACGATTTCTCCCTTTCATACCTATTTTGCATTAATTGCCTTTCCTACTATTTAGATGCTAGTTTGTTGTTCGCACAGTCCTAGATGACAGTAAAAATAACCTTTTAAGATTGTTATAAATTTTGTTGGGTGTCGTTTAGTATATTCTTAATCCGCGCTTTTTTTCAAGACGAATTATTAGTTGGCATTTTAGGATAAGTAAAATCGGTAAAGTTGACGACCAGTGCATACGCTTTTTTAACTCTCCGATGTGGTTTTAGACGGGGGAAAGGCTATGTCGGTGGTAGCTCCTCGGATCATTCTTTCGTCACTGATTCAAATCAACCGACAGCAACTACAGACGGCAGTAATTGTCTATCACGGACTGCACTCTCCCGCCCTGTCACCATGCCTGCTAATCTGGAAGATCTGCCTTCTACTTCGAAGGTCTCTACTCGTGGTGACATATCCTCCAGATCACACGAGCCCTCCGGAACCTTTGTAGAAGCATCGGGAAGTAGCTCTACCGCTACCGGCCACTGGTTCCGCTCTTTCACCTGCTTTGCTAATTCTGCGGATGGTGAACAAACTGCTCTAGATCTTTCCGGTTAGTGCTTCTGCGTATTATTATACCTAGTTTGTCTGAATATCATTTTTAAGTGTTGGTGAGTGTCGCTTTATAAATTCTATCAAATGGCAGGTGTTTTAACGGTTATCATTGGCCCTTTAGTTGACTTCAGTCTTCACAGAGGGGAAGGAACACCAATGTGAAAAAAATTCAAGAGGGGGGGGGGAACAGAAGAGTGTATCAAAAACGAAGGTAGATAAGGTGGAAAAAGGTGAGATGAGTACTGTGAAAATAGTCAAATATGACAAACAGTTGGATGATGGTAGTTTGAAGTCAGAAGTCAACAGCCAAGTAATAGACTTTTTACCGTATGAGTATACGTTGCCCAGGGTGCACCACGTGGAGGTAAGTCTATCACACACCCCTCGCTTTATAAATAATTACCATTCATCGGCAAATTATTATTATTATTTCAAATGGCAGGCTTTATGATATTTTTCATCTGCATCCTATTTCTCTAAAAAGAATGTATTGGCGGGGCTATCTAAATTGTTTTCTGTTCTTAATAGCTGTATATAGTCGTCATTGTGATAGTGTTCGACCGATCGAACTAAGTCATTATTTTTTTTCTACTTGCACTAAAAACCCTCTTTAAGACACGTCTATTGCTTAAGAACGTTAGGTTTGAAATGTAAATGTAGAATGTAGCGACAGTTAAGAAAGTATGACTCTTATATCCTTATAGATGTGGGTGCAGTCGAATTTACCTTCCGTGTCCTGTTACGGGCTGTTTGTGAACTTATTACCTTTTTGTGATTGTTTTTTTCTATTAGCTCGAGCCTGTTATTTTTGTTTTGTATGTTTAAACACGTTGATTTGGTTAATATAGATGTGTTGAACTCGTCAGGCTGTCAACACAATGAATGATCTCATCTTTTAGACGCCACTTCAGCTGTTTTTAATGTCGAGAAGGGATTGGTCTGTGTTGAATTCTTTGCGCTTAGTGAGCGTGCGTGAAAGCAACTTTCACATGTTTGTATGCCATGACTTATTAGTTTCTTACGTAGTTCGAATAGGCGCTTATATGGCTGCGCGTCTAAAGCATTAGCTTTTGTATCCTCTAATTGGTACACTCTCCAGAAGAAAAATTTAACTTTTAATGTTGGGCTCGTTTCTCATTGCCACACGTCCAATGAACATAACGGTCAATCCTACTAGTTGTCAAAATTGTGGCTTAGATCAGAGGGATCCAGAAAGTTGCTCGATTGTGTACTATGCAGTTCCTCAAACTACAATGGCCCCACTGTATGTCATACTCGACACCTTTCACAGTACTCACATCACCTTTTTTCTATCTTTGTGCCTGTCTCTTTTACATCGTTGATTCACTTCTCTGCCCTCCCCCC